GGTGATCCGGCCAATAACATGCTGCTTGTTCTAAGAGGACAATGTTCACTCACTGTACTGAATCTATGACAGAACAATGTTGTCACTTTAAGACAGGAAGTGTAGGACTACAAAACACCTCTCTACATGGGGGGGGTTACTGTAGCCCATGAAGAAACTAAACTGTGCAAGGCTGATGAGACTGTTGGGAGATCAGTGTAGCACAGGAATTGAGTTGTCAGCTCACTACAGAAAGGCTCACTGGATTTTTGACAGATCTACGGCTATATCTTACACTTAATAGGGATGCACCGATACTAGTATCAGTACCGATACTGAGTATTTGGCGAGTACTCGTCCTCACCCAAATGCGCCGATGCCTAGACCGATACCCAAACTTCCGGTATCGGGTCGCTGGCTCCATCCTTCCTTGTCACTTGGTGATGAGGGAGCATGGAGCCGGCTTCCCAGCCAATCAGGTAAGCGGGCAGCGTGTCATGACTCGGTGCCCGGCTTCCTGATTGGTCGGCAAGATGGCACATAATTACCTACCCCCAACTTCCTGATTGCGCAGAAAGCCAGCTTCATACTCCTTTGTCATGTGGTGACGAGGCAGCATGGAGCTGGCTTCCTGGCCAATCAGGAAGCCGGGCGCCGTGTAATGATTCGGCGTCTGGCTTCCCGATTGGTTGAGAAGCTGGCCAATCAGGAAGCCGGGCAGCAAATCATTACACACCACCCCACCACCTGGTGATGAAGAACCATGGCGACGGCTTCCCTGCTAATCAGGAAGCCGGATGGCGAGTCTTTACACGCTGCCTGGCTTGCTTAATTGACCTTCAGATATCGACGAGTACCGAAAAAGTAAATACGTATTGGTACTTGATACCGAAAAACCGCTATCAGTGCATCACTACATATCAAAGAGATAAAAGCATTTGTTATAACTGTCAATTTAACAGACCGAAGGAAGCAAATAAAAAGTTTGATGTTAGGATTTACACACACTTGAAGGAAATCATCCAAGATGGTGGCTTTAGAGCTACTTTAAGAAAAGCAGAGGCATCCTTGTGCGAGTGGCATTAGGTTGGTTTTATGGGTGATCACCGAGTGGTCAATATTGCTTAGAATCTTGGGGGGTAGAGAGGTCAAAATCTGCAGGCCGGTCTCAGAGTAGTCCTTGTTATGTGTAGGAAGATCAGTGTCACGGTCGGGTCAAGCCCTTAGTAAAGGCCCAAAAACTACACAAACGATCTATAAACACAGAGATGTAAATAAAAATATGCGCGATTCTTATACATTGTGTCATGTAGAGTCAGACAAAAAAAAAAAAAGGGTAAAATATCAGCTAGCAAAATGTGATAAAGATATTAATACAGCGCACTTCCCTAATCTCTGTTTTGTATATCGCACAAAACACATTGTTGTTGCACAAAGAAATTTTTTTTTATCACAACAACAATAAAGAAAAGAAGTAAAAACAGTATTGTTCCTTGTTTATACACAGCGATGTCACAGACAGAAATGTGTCAACTTTTAAAAACCAGCACATCCTCCTACACAATAGTGATCCTTTTTTTCCAAGTGTCACAACTGACACGGGGGTGCCATTCCTACCACTGGCCAGACACAAGGGCCCCATTCCTACCACTGGCCACTGACACAAGGGCCCCATTCCTACCACTGGCCACCAACACAAGAGCACTATTCCTCCCAGTGACCCCATTCCCCCCACTGACGCAAGGGCCCCATTCCTCCCACTGACGCAAGGGCCCCATTCCTCCCACTGACGCAAGGGCCCCATTCCTCCCATCTGACGCAAGGGCCCCATTCCTCCCATCTGACGCAAGGGCCCCATTCCTCCCATCTGACGCAAGGGCCCCATTCCTCCCATCTGACGCAAGGGCCCCATTCCTCCCATCTGACGCAAGGGCCCCATTCCTCCCATCTGACGCAAGGGCCCCATTCCTCCCATCTGACGCAAGGGCCCCATTCCTCCCATCTGACGCAAGGGCCCCATTCCTCCCATCTGACGCAAGGGCCCCATTCCTCCCATCTGACGCAAGGGCCCCATTCCTCCCATCTGACGCAAGGGCCCCATTCCTCCCATCTGACGCAAGGGCCCCATTCCTCCCATCTGACGCAAGGGCCCCATTCCTCCCATCTGACGCAAGGGCCCCATTCCTCCCATCTGACGCAAGGGCCCCATTCCTCCCATCTGACGCAAGGGCCCCATTCCTCCCATCTGACGCAAGGGCCCCATTCCTCCCATCTGACGCAAGGGCCCCATTCCTCCCATCTGACGCAAGGGCCCCATTCCTCCCATCTGACGCAAGGGCCCCATTCCTCCCATCTGACGCAAGGGCCCCATTCCTCCCATCTAACGCAAGGGCCCCATTCCTCCCACTGACGCAAGGGCCCCATTCCTCTCAGTGGCCTGACACATGGGCACCATTCCAAGAGAGGAAGTCCTTCCACTTCGATGAGAAATATTATAGTTCAGCCACTACGATGTATGTTTTTGAATTATTAAGGTCCAGTGATCTCTCCCTTGCATCTCTTCTCCTGCGACACCATCCCGGGTTCCAGGTTCACCTGGCCGTGACACCATCCCGGGATCCAGGTATCCCCCGGCCGCGACGCCATCCTGGATCCAGGTTCCCCCCGGCCGCCTGGCCATCCTGGATCCAGGTTCCCCCCGGCCGCCAGGCCATCCTGAATCCAGGTTTCCCCCGGCCGCCAGGCCATCCTGGATCCAGGTTTCCCCTGGCCGCCAGGCCATCCTGGATCCAGGTTCCCCCCGGCCGCCAGGCCATCCTGGATCCAGGTTTCCCCCGGCCGCCAGGCCATCCTGAATCCAGGTTTCCCCCGGCCGCCAGGCCATCCTGGATCCAGGTTTCCCCTGGCCGCCAGGCCATCCTGGAGCCTGAGTAGGCGCCAAATCTCACAAGACTTTGGAACTTAACACCCTGCAGCCTTTTGGGATGTGCGACACGGACATCAGAGGAAGCTACAGGCGGCCCGAGGGCACGTCACCCCTGCCTAGGTGAAAAGACCAGGAAGGCGGAAGGTGAAACCAGCTAAATCCGGTATCTACAAAAACGCAACACTTGAAAATGAGATTGTGCAAGAGAGAGGCGGGGGGGGGGGGGGGCAAAA